GTTTTCTCTTCTTGTCAGTACCAGACCAGGTTTTCTTCCCATGTCTGTAGTCAGCACAGAAAGCCGAAATGCCTCCATTTTAATGTAGCCCAATCAATTCCAAACAACCCCTCATATCAGTGTTTTCTTTGCCTCCCAACTCTGTCTTCCCTGGTGAGTAAGAGGCGCAGAAACTTCAGGTGGCTTCTGCTTCATGATGGCAGAATTTTACCTGCCTTGGAGACCACATGAGATGTCCTGAGACTGATGGAGGAGAGAAGCACAGCTGAGCATTTGGGTTCACACAGCCCACAGTTGTTCCAGGCATGTGAGTGACACCATCTTGGTCCCTCCACTTCAGCCACCAAATAACCTAGTAGACATAGAGGAGAATCTCCCAGTCAAGACCTGTTAAATTCCTGACCCACAACATTGTAAGGTGTAGTGAAATGGCTGCTATTTCAGATAGATAATTTCTTGGGCAACTCGGTGACCGGAAGAGGGATGCTGCTGGAACCAAAATGTCAAAGCTCCAGGAATGCTGTTGGGACTGAGCAGAGGGCTGAAGCCTCATCAAGGCACCTGGTGGTGGAAGCTGAGAGGGGTTCATGAGGATTGTTAGGCAAAGCTTGAAAATCCACCGTTTCTCATTGTCCATCATTTGAGGCAAAATTTCTCAAAATAGGCTGAGTCTACAGGGTAAAGAACAAATGGAAGATACTACCAGTACAGTGTGGTTTCAGGTTCATCTCAAGGATGTGGTTGTAGGAATGTTTGTGGTGAGATTGAAAAAGTTACAGAATGGGTGGAGAAGATGCTCCTTATCTACAAAGAAGGCTTCTCTGGATCTTCATAAATTCATAGCACCTTAACATTTAGCTCGGCAGTGAAGGGCCTGTCTCTGAAACAAGTAAGGTCGTTTCTATCTAATACAGTGGATGATATCTTACACACTGGAAGCCCACAAAGCTTTGAAAGAAATTATACAGGATTGGACTGAAGGAGATGGTGCAGTCCAAAATGAGAAGAGGTCTTAGGATGCCTAATGTCCCAAAGGCAGGACGGCAGTGGAGAAATTGAAGCAGCTGCAAACAAAGGGCCTTTAATATGGAAAAGAATGAAGCTCTCAGAGGGTGAAACTGGAGGTTGAAGGTGTGGTTTCCAGATGAGGTGAAACTTGAAGGAAATTTCAGCATCTTTAGAGAATCGAGGAGGATGAAAGTAGCAGTGCTTGTTTGAGGGTTTGAATCATGCATCGTTCACATAACCAGGCCAATTCCTTTTAATTTTGGCAATAGCTTATGCAACTGAGTTCTTCCTTTATATATTCAGATGACAATACAGAACATGTCATTGCATAATTGCCATAAGTTTTTGTCTGGTTATCATACCTTTGGTAACAACCTCAACCCCATACTAATGAAAGAGTTCCAGTGGAACTGAAGTAACTCCAGGCCTTCAGACAAAGGCGACTGACTGGGTACTCTTGAGATGAGCCCCACACTGTGGGGATGCAGACAGTGGGGTTTCCATGAGAAGGAGTGTGTCAGGACCGTATGAGTCTGGGGGCCAACAGCTATTATAGGGTTTACTACAGAGGAATTGTCTTTATGAGAATAAAGTGAAATTTAATGAAACCGAAGCCAAAGAGGTTTAGTTAGCTAGAGAGATATGTACGTAGATACATAGACAGACAGACAGGTGAATAGATGGTGGACAGATAGATCGATAGATAATAAATCATTAATACATAGACAGAGAGAGAGATGGACAGACCGACCTTCAGTATCATGTGCATTCATAACACTCTATGTCTGAGGCCATCATCACTCTTTGAATTCCCCAAGTATTTACAGCCAGTATTGTGTTTAAGAGAGTTTTAGTCAGCAATCTGTTACTGGCATTTATATTAGTCCCAACTGATACACATATCAAACATCAGAAAAGCAGATACAGAAGCTTCTTGTGTAGAGTTTCCTTGGGCTAACAAAAGAGCTCAGGGACAGGAACCAAAGGTACCAACAGTTCCATCCAGGTCTTCAGCCCAGATCTTCAACTTTGCATCTACGATGAAGAAGCTGAGTGACAGCAACATCTGTGATGAATACCACTGAAGGTGAAGGCCCTGGAAAGGAACTCCTGAGATGGGCAGGTCCTCTAGTGCAATAGCAAGACAGGCTTCCCTGTCCTGGAGGAAGAGCGAGCATCGACCAAGTGCCTGGGGAGGTGGATGGAGGGAGCATCTTGGAGAAATTAAATTTTGAGTTAGGGTAGATATGTCAATAGGTCATCTTAGAGCTACAGCAATGCTCATTGCATCAGATTCCATGAGTTCTGACAGGGCAATGCCTGTCAGCGAGGACCTGAGCCCTCACAGCCTAATCTGTCTGAGCTAGGGTCTGTAAGCACACTTGTCCTCCCTTCCCCATCCCCCACTTTCACATATTTGCAGGTTTTGCCTTTTGCTCTGTCTCCAGATACCTACTGAAATAGATTAAAGACTATTCTCCTGGTCGATAGACTATGACCCTTAAGCCAAGTATTCCCCCCAATTCTTTTTTGTGAAGTTTGATTGGAGCAAAGCCAAGCTCATCCACTTCATATAGTCCATGAGTGCTCTCTAGCCTTAGAGACTTTTCCACACATGAAGATGTCAAAGCCTTTGGAAAAAGAAGACCCTTTAGAGACCATTGAGGCCAATTCTTTTGGGTTCTGATGAAGAAAATGAGGCCCTGGGAAGTACACAAGGACCTCACAGGGACAAAATTGCACCAATTTTGAGACCAGAGCAGTATCCTGGTTCCTCCTTATGCCACTGATGCTGACATCTCTCACCAGAAGCCTTCCTGTGCTGAGATTATAACTTCAACAGAAGAGACAGCAACACTTTGGTCCTCTGCCAGCTCCCTCCTGGGCCGTAGCCTCATCACCTCTGACAGTATTTGGCAGCAACTGGGCCTGGGGGACCAACAGCAGGACAGCTGGGAGGACGTCAGGGGTCTTCATGCCTGTAGGCGCCTGGAGACGAGGAACTCCTAAAGCATCGAAGCAGCCCGTGTGTCTCTGGCTGCAGAAGGGATCTATCCCCGTCTTTACATTTGTCTGTTAGGAGATGAGAGAATCAAGTGTCAATCACTTGGAGACACTGTCAGCACGCATTCTATGATTCCCTGGCTCAGAGGCAGCGTGGAGTGGGTGAGCCATGTGAAATCCTCCTGCTGTTTCCAGGAAATGCTCTGATGGCTGTCTGATCTGGGTACTCCTCAGAATGGACAATATTCTGAGGGTGCCATTGGTAGGCAAGAGAACTGGTCACTATGTTGTTGGAGGGTCTCATTGCGCCCGTGTGAGCTGTGCTATGATGTGGTGGTCCCTCGTTTGATTTTTGTCCAGCAGGAGCTAATTGTACTTTGCCCGGCTCCCGGATTTAGCTTCATTTTACTCGTAGCAGAACAGTGTCATCATCCTCACATCTCTAGGTGAGGCATGAGTATCCTTTCCCCATCACCTGAGGACCCCATTCCAAATGGGCAATGCAACATTGTCAGCAGCAAGGAGACGCCTGGGTTTTAATGGCCACAGGTTTGGTTTTGTTTCCTTTTGGTCTACTAGTTTCAGAGGAGGTGACCTGAGGCACCCCCTAGGCCTAGGCCCTCATAGCCAGACAGAAGGATCCCTGTTCTGGAGAAGCAAAGAGGGAACCAGCTCCTCCCATCTCCTGGCAGAAGAAGACCTCTGACCATAGGGCTCACAGGAGAGGAAGCAGGACCTGCCTGCTCTGGGTTTATTGATTCTTTGTCACTGGAAGGGTTTTTGTGAACAGAGACAAATCTCACCACAGTTTCCACTAAGTTTAATGCTCACTCAATCAACACTTGTGAAAAGCAGTTTGGAGTATAAAATATAGATAGCAATGTCATCGCTTAAATGATGTTTACCATTCTACATGGAGCTAACACACTTTGCATGCCTGGATCTCTTCTGACACATTCAATCCCTTCGACCGCAGATAAACATTCTCAAGAACACGATCACACACTTGCTTACCCATTCCACCAAAATTGTTAGTGAAGTGCCGGTCTTAATGATTGAACTCTGTTTCTCTTTTGTTCTGATGTTATTCTTTCTCAGGGTTTTTGTGATCTTCCCAGACCTAGGAGGAGGCTCGACGATGTTTTACATCTTATTGTCAAACTGTTGACCCTCCATCAGTAACAGGGGCTTGGTGAGTTTCCAAGTTGATTCAAACCTGAGCTACTGGTTATTAGCAGGCCAAGATTTTTTTGCAATAAAAATCATTTCTTTTGTCATATCATGGTACTCTTAAATCCCTGCCTTTATAGAAATTTTGAGTTTAGAGACTTTCCCTTCTGACAAATAAGATGTTCTTTAAGTTTTTGCAGGACAGTAAGTGTAGGAGCAGTAGTCTCACCATTACTATGTATTGACTTGTTCATTAGCATTAGTACAAACATAGCATTTGTTGATAGAATTTTATTAAAATGATAAGGAGTTCATTATGCTTAGCAAACTGAAGGTCTTTGAAGAGAGAGTTGAGACCAACTCTCTCATTCGACATTGCACTAATTGAGCTTTTGTGGTCTAAAGGGGGTCCATTTATTTTAGTGGTCATTGGGCATGACCAGGTCTATGGAGAAGCTTCTGGGCTCCCTTTCTTTCTGGTCATTAATTGAGACCCATGATGCTGGTCCGTATTTTCTGATTTTGGTAAATTCTTAGATTTTCCCTATTTGTGGCTTTACAGTCAGTTCTTTCTTTGAGTATCATTATGAATGGGTTGGCTTCTTAGATTAAAATTGTTGTGAATAACAGCCATTTTTATTTTTACTACTTTTATTGTCACTTATAATGCTGAAACTGTGAAGCACTTGGATGCAAACATGCATCAGTTAACTTAACTAGACCATTCTGGACTGAATTCTCTTTACAAGTGAATGATGCAAACCAGCCATATGGAAAGACAAAAAGCAAAAGAGAAGAAAAATGCCAAACACACTGAATTCATTGCTTGAAGTGTATTTCGGAGAGAGAAATAAGAAAAGATACAAGATACAAAGAGTAAACCCTTTTCCGGATCGTCAAATGGAATCCTGCATGGCTTTGGGTCTCAATCCACAAAGGTCAGCGAAGACAGCAACGCTTGTGTCTCGAGCTTATTTGTGGACAGGAGCCAGAGGAACGCTCATGGCTATGGCAACGGCCATATCTGCAGATGCAAAAGTGGATGCTCTGATGGCCTGGGGAGGGAAGGACAGGGTCAGGCACGGGGAAGAAAAGAGGGAGGAGAGGCAGAGCCAGCTTCAAAGAGATATATGAAGAAGCAGCATGTCTACTGACAATCAAGAATGCCAGTCATGTTAGGATGAAGCAAATTCATCTTTTTGTCATAAATCAGAAGAACTCTTACTGGCTCTGTGTTGATCCTGCAGGATCCTCATTTTTTTCTGATCCTACTCTACCATGTACATGCTTATTTCACACCCTCCCCAAGAATCTATCTCTCTGACTCAACGTTACCTACCCTCACCCCACCTCCTCTATACACCCAATGTGAGCCCAGCCTCCATGTACTGACAAGTCCCTTTAATGGGCCTGTAGATCCCAATGGCATGCTGGCTAGTCTCTCACCAGAAGCCTCTCGAGCAGAGCGTTCACCCCCCTCAAAGGAGATGGTCATCTGCTGGACCTCGGACCCAGGCTGGTCCTGGGCAGGAAGCTGGTCATCTGTGTCTCCCAGAGGCTCAGTCTGGGCCTGGAGGGCGAAGACGAGAAGGGCAGCGAGGAGGGCAAGGGTCCTCATGGCTGTCAGTCACCTGGAGTTCAGGGTCTGGATGGGAGAGCAGGAACCTGAGTGAATGCGGAGCCCAGAGTCAGCCTGTATTTATAGGAGAAAGATTCGAGGAAAGAAGTTGTTGCCCTGAATGTGTGACTAGGTGAGGGTGGGGTGGTCTGAGATCCTGCTGTTGCCTCCAGAGTTACTTTGGTGTCATTGTGATCTAGCTGCTCCTCCCTCATCTTGTGTCTATTTGCAATGTGTCCATGTTTGCTTTTCATATGTCATGATAGATGCCCAATAGGAACATGATAATCTTTCCTATTTCTCATCTGCTTCAATATTTACTAGTGAAAGTGTGTGTGCGTGTGTGTTATAGGACATCAAGAGATGCCTGTACAAACTTCTAAATATGTGGCTAACAAAGGACAATAATCGGGTCTATATGGGATTTCTCATTTGCAACATTTGTTTCTGATTGCATTTTCACACTTCTGAGGGAAAATAATTGAATGTAGAATTCAATGCCTAGGTAATATATAATCCTAATTATAGGGACAAAAAGTCTGTTTTTGGATGTTCCAGACTCAGCAAAGTGTTATGCATGACGTCCTTTGGAACAATATTGGTCAAGGACACAATCCAATAAAATATGGAAACATCCAAGTGAGAAGACATGAGCATAAAGAAACAGAGTGGAATAAAAAAGACTCAGTAAAATTTATTTATACTCTGTTTTAATTAATTTTGCATGAATGGTGACAAGGTTGTACATCTTAAAGCTGTTGTTCAGCAAAGACTATTAAACAAAGGAAAAAAATATGAATTGCCATTTGGAATCCAAATTCCCAAGAAATGCAACAAGACTTAAGGATTGGTCAAGAAAGAAGAGAAGATGGGGCTCATGCATAATAACCAACTCTAAAAAATTCACAGGGAAATACTCATTAAAGTATATGTTTACAAGATGCAGTATTTGCCACTGGAAGGACATACCAATAGAATAATCCACAACAGATGCGACGGAAAGAAGGAAGAAAAGAAGAAGATAACTTCTTCTTAAGTAAGAAAAGAAGTCAGGAATCAGAATTAATAAAAATGCCAGCAAAATGTCAGAGAAGGCCAGTAGCCTGGCCTGGTTCTTGTGTCTATTCTGTCCCTACTAGCTGAAGGACAGCCCTTGAGGGCAGGGGCCCCACCCGCCTTGGGCCTTGGTGCCCTGTGTGTGCGCGTCTGGGGAGTTACCATTTGGCCCGTCAGTTTCTTAGTCTTCGTTGGATTGTTGTGAGGACAAATTGAGAAAACCATGCAAAGTTCTTAGAGCAATGCCTGACACGTGGTAAAAACTCCATAAATCCTCTCATTGTCATTTTCATCATCATCACCACATGTTTATGATCAAATGATACATTCCAAGGACTTAGGATAGTGCTTGGTGTCAAGTAAGCACTCAAAACACATCTGCCACACCCCTGCGAATTAGTTAATCAACTGGATGACCTTGGACTAAATTTCCTGAATCAGTGACTTCAGCTTTCACTGCGCAGTCTTCGCTCTGCCTGGGGGCCGTGTAGCACCAGGTTTAATATCCTCTCTATTCCCTCTGCCTTAGTGTGCCTCATGGAGCATTGCTGAGCTTGGCATGTGGAGTTCCACTATTGCCCCCTGAACTGCATTTCTCTAGGGTTTTCTCTTTGAATCTGTAGAGACGACCGCGGGACAATTTGGGAATGCTTTGGCTAGTTTTAACATTTCTGCGTGGATGCTGGCATGCACATGATCACCCAGGGACCTCATTTATTGGAGAAAACTTTATCTTCAGCCTGATTTTATCCTTCCCTCACTCCAAAATTATTTGCATGAATGGGAAATCTGGAAAGAGAGTGGATGCCTAAAAAATCACTGTCCCGGCCCTGGAGTAACAGGCAGAGCTTGGCATTGTCCGTGACCCAGAACATACCTGGGAGCATTGCCCAAGACCCAGAATAAGCCTGGGAGCCCCTCACTCTGTCTGCTAGGGGACCAGGAACCCCTCGGTCAGCTGACTGCTCAGCCTAGAACACAGGGTAACCCTGCTGCTGAGCTGCCTTTTTCTAAGCTTCTTCCTGGGAACAGTATTTCCAGAAAATTCCAGTGATATTATGGGAAATGACTGCAGACTTTCAATGTGTTTGTAAGTAATCATTTAGAAGCAAACATCTTTCCTTTTCCTTGTTATCATTATTTTTTTTACTGTATTGTCATCCCTTGTCTATCGTCCTCTGTCTTCAAACCCGATGACATTTACAAAAAAGCCTGAGGAAACATTTTTCTTGTCTTCAGTCTGAGTCTGATCCAGCCTCTCCTCTTTTCAGGACCGGGACAAACACTGTGCACACATGGACACCATAGACACCTGCGGAGAGAGGGCATGAATTCCCCTGACCTAGGAAATTCCGAATTTAACATGGGAATAAACTTGAGCATGCTGAAAAGCACGGTGCAAGGGAATGAGCCTGACAGAAGATACTTGAGATCTTCAGATATCAACAGCTCTCGTTTTTGAGCCGGATTTTTTGTCCCAGGCTATTCTACAGAGCCGATCATGCTGAGAGGTCCCTGTTGCTGCTGCTGATAGTCAAGCAGATCGGGAGCAGGGAGGGCAACATGGGCGTTTGTCCACATGCATGGCCGGTGTTGAAGGTGAGTCGCCACATCAGAGAGTCATCAAAGGTCTTGCCGTCAAATGCTTAGCCCAGCAGCACACAGACATCACATGTTAGGGGGGAGCCTTCCCCATGGTTCATGGCCCTCTGCTCCTGCTGCCCTCAGACTGTTATCCACACAGGGCTGGATGCCTCACTTTCCCCAGGGAAGCCCAGGCTCCCATCTCCCTCCTGGGTGCTCTCCCCTCTCAGGAGGCTCTCTGCCATGAGGACCCCCTGCCTGTTGGCTTCCTGTGTCTGCTTCATCTTCAGTCCAATTCTCCCTCCACTCATCTGAGACCACCTTCATACCTAGCCACACGAGATTTACAAAACCTACCATACAAATCGATAAATTGTCAGTACAGTTTACTTAGAGAAAATCTTATGGTTGGATTATTTGAAACTTTTTTTTTCCCATTGAAAAATATATGAAAATCCTGCCAGAGTAGACATAGCTGACCAAAGTGGGTTTGAAAAATTTAATGTATCCTTAATATGTTTCTGACTCTTTGTTTTGTTTTCCCCTTTGCTACTTTATTTCTTCAATTTTTCTGATTACTAAAGCAATTCATGCTCAGTATAGGAAGAAGCCCAAAAATATCCACTGACAGAGAACTCTGAGAAGCATCTGTCACTCAGCCCTTCTGAGAACTACTGTTTCCCATATAGTCTCTGCACCCTGTTCTGTATCTATTGATCATGTTAAATAGAAATGACATTATGCTCTGTGTATTGTTCGTGACCAATGATGATTTATCTCCTGCATTTTCTATTATTAGATATTTTGTTAGTATCCTTTTGAAAATTTGTTGTTATTGCACTTAGCAGAGGAAAGATTAATTAATTATAATTAATGATGCATCATTAGTTGATGATATGTAATCAATATTAATTAATACTGATATTTAATTAATACTGATAATTAATGAGACATCGGAGAGTAAAAGGGAAAGAAAAACAGCAAAACACCTAAAACTTCTGATAAACTGGCTAAAATGGTTAAATATTCGGATAAGATGATGAGGAGACTAGTTGAGTCCTGCACAGTTCCCCAGCTGGATGCACCAGGGACTGGGGACCTCTGTTTCTGACGAATAGTGATGTAAGTTGACCTGGTTTGTTCACACTGTGTCTGTCTCTCTCTGTATCTAAGCGCGTTGTCTGTTTCCCAGAAAGGGCAGTCAACGTGGTGGGAAGACTCATTTTCCAGGCAGGGCCCTCCAGCTTCAGAAAGTAAAATCTCTCTCATCTAAGACAGATGAGACCAAGAGATCATTTCCACCCTCCTGTTCCTCATCCCTCTCTCCCATCTGGCCGTCAGCACAACAGCCAGTATTGATGTTTGTGTATATTTTGTTTTTTGTTATAAATCTATGTTCCAGGAGAGTTTAGCCTTCTCCAGGAAGCATTCATTGAGCTCATTCTCAACTGGGGGCCCTGGAGGGAGCTAGAAATGCCCTCTCTTGGTATCATGGAAGCAAGGACCCTATCCTTGTCTTCCCACACAGGCAGGCCTCAGAGGAAGGGCATTTGAGAAGAGCGAAAGGTTCCCAACACACTTTCAAGGTGCCCTGCAGTGGCTCCCAGCCTGGAGAAGGCAGGGAGGATGCCCATAGGCATGTGGAGGCAGCTCAGGAATACACATCACACCACGTGCTTCTCCATCCACTCTGGGCATGCGCACATGGATAACGTCGTACAGAAGTGAGCATCAGTGGCAGCCTTGAAGGGGAAAATGAATCATTGTAAGCCTTTGGGTATGTCTCGGGGGTACCAGAGTACACCAGTTGGGGTGGTGATAATGTTTATGGTTCCCTTTCCCATATATTTACTGCATATTCTCCCTGGGGCTGATTATCAGCTTCTCAACTTTGCAGAAATAAGGTGATGATAATCACATATGGCACTAGTGTCTGCAGAGAAAACATCACGAGAAGTATCCTGCCTGTTCATTATGTCAAGAGGGCTTGGTTCATCCTGATAACCATGCTAGGTCCAGCTACAGGTGTGAAGATGAATACCATCCCAGGCATTAGAATTTGATGTCTGGCAACCACAGGCAGCAGTAGGCCTAGCAAAGGCTAGACTCACACATATACACAGTAATGGGGGCTTCCCCACTCCTCACAGCCTTGGAGAATTCAGGAAAACCTGGTGGCAGGAAACTCAGAAAGTTAGGATCGGGGTTCTCTGACAGCGAGCAGCAGGAACCTGGTCACTGAGCTGCTGTCCAGGCCGGGCCTACGGTGTGGAAAGGTGAACTGACAGGTGGAAAGAAAGGCTCAGATTTTAAGGCGCCATGGAAAAGATCTGAGGTTGACCTTGAGGGCTGGTTTGGCG